AAAGGATTTCAGCCACCAATTAAAAGAAAGGAAGAATCACCATGATCTCTTCAAAATTATTAAGGACATACAATTTTTAAAATACAACTTGGATGTGTTTTTTGAATGGTCTTTTAAAATTACAGTGGTGACAGACTAAGGTGTACAGAGATGCTTGCAAAAAAATGGAATTAAGTTTTACTTGGAAGTTACTGAGTTCAGTCTGAATTATCGTTTCTCAGGAAAAGCTGAGTTAATGTTTATTTTGTTCTGTTTTCTACGTAAGTGAGTATACACGTATCTCTGCTGCTCCTCATTTCTGCCAGGACCAGAATCAGTAGGCAAGAAAAGCTGTTGTGTATTTCACAAAGCCAGGCAATATTCAAAGTCTCTCACAAGCACTTTTCTCCTGAGATTTCCTGACAACAGGGTTTTAGATAAATGCAGATAAGCCTTGTATAAGTATCTGAAATTTAGAAGGCTTATCTGAGACAAAACACCACCAAACTTTTCACATTCAAACCCACTAGTTAGTATTTGTTATGCAGATGCCTCTCCACAAGAAGGTACCAGTGGCTGTATTTTACTGCCTTCCTTACCTCAGTTTCTCAGAGGGGATGTGATGAGCTGACAATTCCTTCAGAGTCAGTGTTTTCATAAGCACATGGAGCATCTGGAACAATATGGAGAAGAAACTCTTAGAGCTCCTTCCCCTTCCAGTTCCCAGGCAGCATTGCCATGACACTATGCACAGTAACTCACGCGCATCCCTAAATTTAGATTCCACTCAGCACTGGCACAGTAGCACACTGGTCTTACCAGCCCTGTTTTCAAGTGCTGCATTGTTAGCACATTTCTGTTATCTCCCCTCCCCCTATTGTCCAAGAAACAGTTAACATCCCATGAGAATAACACAAAGACATTGTCAAAGCTAGAACAGGCAATTCAGACTGAAACACCTCTTTCTCAATCTCTGGTGGGTCTTACTTGGATTTCCACTAATGTCCTCAGTTCCTCACCCCTTATTCAGAAATAAATAATTCCATCTCAGGTGTTTCTTTGATTTAGGGCTGGTCTCTGCTCCAGTCACTTTGCAAGAAAACTATTCTATGCTGCTGCTTTTATTTTCCTCCCAGGAATACACTTTTTCCTGAATTCCCTGTTTAGTAGCACAGCAGTGCTTTAATTCACACTTCACATGTTCACTGGATTCCACCTTGTACTACAGAAAGTTCCGTTCTGTGTAGAGCCTACAAGTACTTTGCCATTGCATATATCCCTATTTTATTCTTGTAAAGGCATTGCAGGCTTTTGAAGGCGAGGTCCGTTTGTACGCATATCTCTTACACCCTGTACATAAAATATGGTTCGGGACTAGTGCTCCTGGTGAAAACATGGCATTAATCACATTATCAAGAAATGGTAACAATAACAATAGATTTTTCAATAGCTGATTGAACTTGAATTCCATATTGTAGTCAACCCTGGATCATCAAAAACACCTTGTGTTTCCTTGAGTAACCCACTGTTGGCGCATACTATGATCTCTCCTTATGCAGCTGATCCATGGACATTTGTAGTCCTGTTACTGTTCCTAGCTAAAAAAAATAAGTTAATTAACAGATGGGGTTCATATTTTACAGTGCAAAAGTTCCTATTCAATTATTTGGTCTGACTCTTAATTTAGAGGTGTATATATCTGGAAAAAATGCACTGCGTTTATCGCTTCAGAAATTACAATTTTTGCTGCTGTTAAATATACACTTAATATGCAGCAATCTGAACGTGAGCTACTCAAATTGAGAGGAAATAAATTTATTCAATAAATGGGATTGCTTCCTTAATCAGAAATAGCTCTTTCCATAATATCCATGTACCAAGTCCAACGATCTCATTTACATAAACTTCTGTCCGTGGTAGCTGTGAGGGATATCAGTGGGGCTAGATGCAGCTGAGATGTGAATGGAAGCCCTGAGACTGTTTTTCTCAGACTTGACCAAGAGTGTGTATCTTGCATTGGGCAGCACTAATGGAAAATATAGGTCACAGTCCTTTAATACCTCTATGTAATCATCCTCTAGAAAATTCATAATGAATATAGATGTCTCTAGCAACCTGGACACTCTGAATATTGCAGCTTGAGAGCTTGATGGAAGAAAATTATGGCAGTGGAATTTATTGCTGGAAAGACTAAGCAATAAATACTCTGCAGCCAGGGATGTAGTCTCCTTGTGCTTTAGGTTATTTGCAGTATTTTTGCTACTTCCTGTACATCCCCCATACAAAGCTCCACTTCTCAAAGTTCCATGTGTCAGCTCATGGCTCTCAAGACACATATGGTTCTGAAACTTGCTATGAAACTTGAAGCAAATTTCATGTGGCTTAGCTGGGCCCCAGAAGTATGCAAAATGCTAAAAATTCAAAGGCAGAAATGGTCTTTGATTAAAGAGAATCTTGTTGGTTGTCAGGACCTTGGGCTTACAAATTATTTCTGTGCATCACCTAGTACCAGAAGTATAAGGAAGGGAAATATTTAATCCAACTGGAAGAGTGGAACTGTTAACAGCTCCACCAGAACTAAGGCACTCAGAAGAAAATGGAAATCACAGAAGTATCAGCAGCACTGCAGTCTCTAGTTACTAGGACTAAAGGCTAATGGAAAGAAGACAGTTAGAAGGAAGTTTTTTGTGACAGTAGCTGTTAGACTTGATATGTTTAACAGTTTTGGTTAAATCAGGCAGAGCAAACAACTAAACCACATTTTAGAAATTAGAAGAGGTGAACACTGCATCTGGAAATGAAACACTGAAAAGACACAGGTGGCACAGGAAAGTAGAGCTGTAGAACAGCTTCTGTTTAATCTGAGGTCGAAGAGACTTCCATTTTGAGCAGGCAGCCATGGTCCCTAACATGAGTCTCTGGAACAGCATGTCAGAGAGAGAGAGAGACTCCTGGGAACCCTAGAGATAGACAATAACAAAAATATTAAAATACACAAAAGCTTCAAACAAGCTTCTGGAGGGTGAGCACTACCCTGATGCTCTATACGTGCTTAAGAAACCTGAGTATCATAAAGCATGCTCACAACACAAAGGAATTTGTAGATTGAAGTCCAGTATGCTCAGGGTTTCAGCAGGGAGAATTAAGCACAAAAATACACTGGGAGAAACACATGCAAGGGATTTTCTGCTTCATTTTTTCAGCACAATAACAAGGGAAACACACTGAACAAATCTGTTTAAAACAAGAAAGAACTGGAACACGTTAAGAAGATGCTTAACATTAAACACTATTGTCAGAAAATCAGCAGAAGTGTGGTTTGGGGACACCCTGAATATTGGTAATTACATTGCCTCCACAATAGGCAAAATAACTATTTGTGAAACTACCATTGACACACTGTGGAATTCATGTACTCTATGAAAACAGCAGTTTTTCTATTATATATACACATATTTTCTTTTGGTTTAGGAAGCTTGTTGTGTATTTCAATTAATTTTTTTCATTCCTTGTTTGTATATATTTTTCATGCAGAAGAAAAGTCTACTGTGGTAGCTAGAGAAGTGAAAAGTAAGTTTCTTCACTTTTCCTTTATCTTCAGGTTAATTTATGCAAAGGATAATAGTATATTTGCTTCTTGAATCTGCTGGCTTCAGAAAATATTCCTATACCTTAAACATTTTTCAAGTAGAGAAAAGATTCTCACTTAAAGGCTTATGGTCCCGTGTTTGTGCCGCTTTGTATGGTAATAAAACTTCGTTTCTTATCCACGTTCGTAACAGTAAAACATCACAAAACCAAACTACAGTTCCACTGGCTACATCAAAATCCAAAGCCACGCAGCACAAACTGAAAGTAACAAACATAGTTTTTTGTGGATGAGCAGTTAAAAAAAGCTGTTCTTGTACTATCGTATTCGTTGCCATCAAAATGGGGATTAATTTCCCAAAGGTAAAACAAGAATTGTAGCCTCCTCATTTCCTCTACTGATCTCTCAGTTCTCTAATTAATAAGATTCATGGCATAAGTAGTTGAATTTCTGTAGCTTTTTGTAAAATACCAAAAACATTATCCTTATTTCTACTCTTGTCCAATTAATAAACGAAATAGATGCAAATGATTTTAAAAGACCAGGTCATATTCTTCTGTAGATGATGCTTTAACTGCAATTCTCCGTGAATAACAGAAATCCTGTACTGACAGTTTCAAAGGTTCAATCCATAAAAACTGTTATAAAGTTATATTATATGTGCAGAATTTTCATGACATTCTGCAGTTATTCCCAAGTATCACTTGCAAGTTTTGCTGCCATTAACTCAGATTTTATAAAAGAAGCAGAACAGGTGCACACCTCTGAATCACCACAATAAACTCTTAATTACACTAGATTAATGGGCATACGTTCTTGAATTTCCTTATTGAAGCAATTATCTGATGTACATAGCTGGTTCCAGTTCTGTCCTTAGCAACTCATTGACTCTCTGAGTATTAAGCTGTATTTCTGAGCTTCTGACAGTGAACTAAAAAAGTGCCCAGCTTATCAAATCTAGAACCTATTGGAGTTAGTTAACAACATGTATATATCCCAAATATATATACGTACATAGGGATGTGTGTATATATTTCTGTCTATGTAAAAGTAGTCAGCTGTTCTTCTATTTCCTTTTTTAGAGACAAAAGAGGAAAAGAAAAAGACTGATATAAAGAGGGCTACGACTGAAGCTAAGAAGAAAGGTATGGTCTGGGAATGTTTCTTGCTGACCTCATCCAGCTTTTACTCCCACTCCTGGCTCAGATCCCACTGTTTTTGTTAGGTTAATCTACGTTTCTTGCTCTGTATTGTCCTTTTAGTTGCTTAGTCATTATTTGCATGTTCCCACATCTTCAGCATCTGATGACTGATGTGTTCAGTTCCAATGTTTTCTAAACTTTTTTTCTGACTAGATGATGGCCACCTACGAGCTTGTTAAACAGTTTAATGGAGTCCCTATGTATAGCAGGACATAGTGATACTGCCATACACAATACTCATGGGAGATACCACTCTGTTCACGGTACACCACTTTCTGAAGGTGGGGTAGATATATTTATTTATTTATTTCATAGAATCACAACCAAAACTTGCAGTGACCAAACTGCAAAGCCTTGATATCCATCTAAATAACATTTTAGATCATTCATTCCCAGGAAGCATCTAAAATCCACCAAGGTCTTGCTTTCATGGGAAAACATTTATGTCATTCATTATTTTTTAATGATCTCAGTGCTATTGGAGCTTAAGCTAAAAGGTACCACATTCATGCACTGATGATTTTCGCCTAGCCTTTGATGAATTATTAAGGGTCCAAATCATCCATAGTTGATGCATACTGATTAATTTTCATTTTCAGCTGATTGCTCTGTGACTAGTTGGGTGCAAGTGCTATAAGGGAATAATCTGAACTAAACTCCCAAATAAGTCACATTTTTTTCAGCATGTGCCCACTAGGACTTAGCTGACTGCATATTTGAGTGTATGATTGAGAGTTCTAGCATATCAAACTACTTTCTTTAATTAAATCTTAGAAAAAGAAGGAAAAAAAGAGAAAGCTCATGAGAAGGCAGCTGTCCCTGAAATTAAAAAAGCAGGTAAGAAATTGAAGTCTCTCTTTCTCTGAAGTTGATATCTGACTATTTAGTGTAAGCACTTCCAGATTTTAAGCATTTGAGATAGGGCTGTATGTAATCCATTATCACTTAAGAATCTAAACTGGAGATACGCATACATATATATATATGTATATAACACAGTATATTTTTATATATATGTGTAACATGTTTCCATTTTTATATACAGTATTTTATGCATATTATATATATGCATATGCGTATGTGTGTATATAATACCGGTAATTTTCAATTCTGTGAGCTTGGGATTTTTACAAAAACACTAGAAACACTGCTTTCTCTTGTACATTAGATCAATCAAGAACATAAGTAGTTTCAAAGGGTGCATGGCATGGAAAGACTGAATGGAGTGCATAGATTTTTGCATTAATTATTTCACAAATTCAGCTCATTTTAAGTGATAAATAGAAACATCAACGTATCAAAGCACTTAATGTGTTAGAAAATAGATAGTTATCTTTCCGAGGCTTTATCCATACCCAGAAAATAATTTTTTTAAATGTTAAAAATAAATTTATTGAATGTCCTGAACCTAACCAATTGTGTTCCATGCTATTTAGTTTTCAATAAGATTAGAAATTAACATTTGGGTCTTATCTACAGGAAAATTGTTGTAATTTTTACTTCCCATTGTTTCAGTAAATTTGCAAATCTGTTTAATGCACGAATGCAAACAAGTCTCTAATAAGTGGCACAGACTGTGTAACTGTCTCATTAAAATCAAGTCTCATTAAAATCAAAGTGAAACAAAATGGTCAGTCTAGTGGTTTGGTTATCATCTTAATACCTAGAAACACTGGTTCTACTTGCTGCTTCATCACTTTCTATGCAACTTTCTACAAGCCATGAAGTACTCAGGTGAACATTTCTGTAGACTAGAATAATGCCCAAAACCGTGGAGAAAGTTTTAAAACAGGATTGAAAGATTCAGGGCTATAGTTACCATGTCCTCAAGGCAAGCTTTGTGCTCTGTTATCCAATTATTCAAATCTGTTGAATTTTATCAAAAGCTGAAAGGATATATATCCCATTGTTTACTAACATTTTGGATTACATATGCAAATTTCAATATGCAACTGTTGTCTTTGCCATTGAGTTGTACATGGTCTACATAAGCTTTCCTATTCCAGTATTTTGGATGGGTAGAAAAAAGTTAATTTATGTTTGGTACAATATAAAAACCCACAGAGTGACACAGAATACCTTGGAGTACTATCCTGGTAGCCCCATATTTAAATATTCTTCAGTCTATTATAGTAGGGAGTGGCACACTGGCGAAGGGATGGGGGTGAAAGGCAATACTCTTGTATTGTTAAGTTGCATATTTAAATGTATAAACACAGATTTTTAAAAAAAAAATAAGCTGACAATTCAAATATCTTTTCTAATTTTATTCTGCTCCTAAGCTTGTATTTCACTTGAGAATACAGAATTGTAAAAGATTACATTTTATGGCAGAGATGCAGCATAAATTTATTAATATGTTCATCTTCACAAGCTGTTGCTAAATCCAGTGAGTCGTCCTACCAATGCTAGAAAGACACAAATTAGACAAACCGAGACATCCACACATTTCTGTCCCTTTTATTAGCTCTGTAGGTTGCTGCATTTTGAAGAGTTTACTAGCCTTTGTGTAAGAGGATGGTAATCCATAATATATTCTAGCTACACATGTTGCTGCTATTCCTCATTCAGCCTGCTCTTTGAATGCATGTGTACTTTCTAGCTTTGATTGGCAGCACCTATTGTTATCCCTAAAAGGTTTTAAGCCTGAAATAATTGCCACATTTGATCAACAGAAAAGTAGTGCATAGCCCAGTTTTGAAATGAGGCACCTCAATGACTGATAGTATTTACATGCTTTGGGCAGTCACAGCAAATGAGCCTCAGAGCACTTGAATCAGCAGCGTAGATAAGCATCCAAAAGCAAGAATGTAGGAACAGCTTCCAATTTTCTTACCTTTTCCCATCAAAAGGCCAGGCAGAGGCCACCGTATTAAAAATAAATTCCTTGCCCTGGTTTTCAAATCCTTGCGTTACCTCTGGATGCCTCTGATTTTGTGTATCATTTTGCTTCCCCTCAACCTTTGCAATCCCTGAAGCTGAAGTGTGTGCACGGTGTACTGCCTCCTCACTGCCACACCCACACCTGTCCCCGTGGCAGCAGGCAAGTCTTTCTGGCAGGAGCTGGCTGCCTGGCACCCCAGTCCCACCTCTGCTCCTTACCTTTGCATACCTCCTCCCAGAAGACTCACCTCTGACAGGAGGCCAGTTAACCAGGCTTTGCCCACAGAGGGACGGTGATGTGTACAGGCTGTCAGGCTCAAGAGAGAGAGAGAGGAGGAGATGCTCTGTAAGCACTAGGTAATAAAAACATCTCTAAAAGAATGCTCTGAGAGCAGCGCTTCCCTCTATTCCTCTCCATCTCTCTTCCTCTGACAAGGAATGCTTGTGACTGCAAATACTGAATATTTTTGCTGATTAATATTTTAGATTAGCCCTTCTGTCCAGAAGACAATTTTATCTCTACTGTTACCAGAATGGAGTTTTTTATTGCTCTCCATTAACTGCATCCCTGTGATGTATTTGTTTATTTGCACGCCAGCTCAGCCTTTCTCCATTCCACTCTTCCTCCATTCCTGTCTCTCTCTTTCTTCCTGCTGCTGCAGAGGAGCAAGAGTCATCTAATGTGAAATGTTCTTCGTCTTTTGTACAGAGTGAACTGAATGATTCTTAATTAGCTTTTAAAAATGCGTTGTAGATAAAACCACATTAATCCTCTGACCTTCAGCTCGTACAAAAACATTGTGTTAATTGTCCTGAAAAATAGATAATTCCATTGTTACGAACTCAGAGGTCTTGCTTAAACAAACATAATTGTCAAACACAAGGGTCTGGCACAGTCACACTTCAAAACATTTTACAAAAATCTATCCAGCGCTGCTGTGGATAAAGGAGCTGCATCTCCAAATCCTTGTGAAGGGGCTTGCTGAGCCTCAGCAGAGACAAGCCTTTGTCAACCACGCCTTGTGGTTGGAACACATAGGCTCAGAGGGGTCCAGCCTGAAATCTGACTAAGAAAGGGGAGCCTCTCTGTTAAAGCTTTGGTGCCCAGCCCCACATGAAAATGAATATGCAGAGATTGGTGTTTTCAGGTACCCATCGTTTGCTTGCAGAGTGTTTCCTGATGGTCCCTTTCTCAGAGTCTCAACATTCTGGAGCTTCTCTGCTTCTTTGTGTATCAGCTTTCCTAAAAATTCATGATGTTCACATGCAGCCTTTGTCTTTAAGTTTGATCACTGCGAACTTCTTTCCCACTTTGTTTTGGTTCTCACAATAAATAACATAGGTAATAAATGAGCTTATAAAGCAATGAAAATGTCATGCTGGATCATCACACCATTTCCTAACTAAAGCTCTGCTTAGCCATCATTGATGATTTTGCCTTCCTCTTATTGCTGCATAATTTCAAATAACAACAGCAATAAAAATACCTAGGTCTTGTGCAGCATTTTTGGACAGTAAATCTTAGAACCACTTTAGAAAGATAGTCAGTGCCTTTTTCCTCCACTTTTCCCACAGGGAAATTCAGGTATAGACATGTCACCCAGGCCAGTTGTCCATGGGGCTTATAATATATATCTACTGAACACAAGACCAACACTAGCTGCATTAAAGATCCCAAACTGTTTAGGGAGAAAATTTTTTTGCATAAGAACATAAGGCTCGTTCAGCTGGACAGGTGTTCAAGAATCCCTAGGCTCTCACCCTCAGTGACAAATGTTTTAAGGGTGTCAAACCCAGCTACCTCCCTGAGCAGCTCTGCTTAGCAGAGATAAAGCAAGTCAAGGTCTTGATGTGCAGATCTGCTCACACCGGATCAGGGAGCATGATCTGACTTGTATTTTGTTGTGTTGGTACACGCGTGCTCCTCACAGAACATCTAAGCCCTTACTAAGGACCATTGCAGCACCTATCTATATCAGGGACCTAGGTTGCAGTGGTTGCACATCCAGTGTTGTGGGTGCATCTATCATAGAATCACAGCATTATTTAGGTTAGAAAAGACCTTTAAGATCATTGAGTCCATGTAAGTCTAACGCTGCCAAGTCCATCACTAAACCATGTCCCTAAGTACCACACCTATGCATCCTTTAAATACCTCTGGGGATAGTGATTCAACCACCTCCCTGGGCAGCCTGTTCCGGTGCTTGCTAACACTTGCAGTGAAGAAATTTTTCCAAGTCTAAACTTGAGACTGTTTCCTCTCGTCCTGTCACTTGTTACTTGGGAAAAAAGACTGACCTCGACCTCGATTCAACCTCCTTTCAGGTAGTTGTAGAGAGTGGTAAGGTGAGCCCTCAGCCTCCTTTTCTCCAGGCTAAATGACTGCAGTTCATTCAGGCACTCCTTATAGGACCTGTGCTCTAGACCCTTCACCAGCTTTGTTGCCTTTCTCTGGGCGACCTCAATGTCTTTTCTTGTAGTGAGGGGCCCAAAACTGCACACAGTATTGGAGGTGCGGTCTCAGCAGTGCCGAGTACAGGGGCATGATCACCTCCCTACTCCTGCTGGCCACACTGTTTCTGACACAGGCCAGGATGCTGTTGGCCTTCTTGGCCACCTGGGCACACGGACGGCTCATGTTCAGCCAGCTGTCGACCAGCACCCCCAGGTCCTTTTCCGCTGGGCAGCTTTCCAGCCACTCATCCCCAAGCCTGTAGCGCTGCATGGGGTTGTTGTGACCCAAGTGCAGGACCCAGCACTTGGCCTTGTTAAAGCCCATAGCATTTGCCTCGGTCCATCGATCTAGCCTGTCCAGATCTCTCTGTAGTGCCTTCCTACCCTTAAGCAGACAAGACTCCTGATCAGCTTGGTGTCATCTGCAGACTTTCTGAGGGTGCACTCGATTCCCTCATCCAGATCATTGATAAATATATGACTGTGATAAAGATCTATTT